GCAACACTGTACCTTTAGTAGTAATGACACCTATGAGTGTGACATCTTGCTTAAAGAACAGACTTGCCAACCAATAAAAGCTAAGTCCTTTGAAACTATCCCCAATTGTCAAACAATAAATATCGTTCTGCAAGGACAATTCGTAGTTTTCCACCCAGTTACGCGTGAGTGTTGTATTGAATGGGCGGGGTTGATATGTACGAAGCAAATTTATGATAAGAGGCACAGAACCAGGAATAGCTACCCCAAGCCCAAGCAAATGGTGCAAAATCCTTTCCCCTTCCACCACGCCGGCAGCATAGGAGGAGACATGCTTAGTGTGTCGCTCACTGCGAAGGAATAGGTATTGTGGAAGCTCGCCATCGTAATGATTAATAGCAAAGGACTGCCGAATCAAATGATAGTCAGTATAATACGCGGCAGAGCTTGTGTCACCAAACAAAAAAATAGCATCTGCATGGTGTGCATCTGCACGCTTAAGGTCGGCATCCTTCATAGGATCACCAATCATAAGCACAACACGATTTCTAAACCACGGAAGATTAACTAACAGTTTGACTTCCGGTGGGTGTTCCACAGGTGAAAGCAACACAATTCGAATATCAAGATACTTTCTCCAACCGGCGTAGAAATTCCGAATGATAATATCTACTTCAAGTTCAGTGAATGTACCAGACAAAATAACATGTGGACGTTTCCCGCCGCGAGAATTATACGTATCATAATGCAGATGCTGTCGACCAATCTGTGCTAGACGTTGGAATAATGGCAAGAAATAACTAATAGCAACCACAACAAAAGCTATCATAAAGAGACGTGCCGGTGTTGATTTTGGTGTTACATCCCCAAACCCAATGGTAGCGAATGCAACCACCATAAGATAGAAAGAGTTGTATAGACTAATATATTCTCCAGTGCAACTTTGAACAATTTGGTTTGTACCGATGCAAGTACACATAACGGCGAAGAGTGTGCAAAGAAATCGGCATACTTCTCTTGTGATGTCTACCATGTATCGTGCCACCTGTGGATAATCCAAAAGAACGACAACGCAATCACGAATCCACCATACTCGCAAATACATGGGCACCCAATAACTCTCCCACTTGGTGTCAACCAATGCACCAATGCCATATATAATCATCGGAATACTTGTCATGGCATTTACAATAGAGAGCCAAGATAAGAGATACCGTCGTTTATCGCTTTCTCCAAAGAAGAGAAGGATCCATTCGAGAAAAAATATAATATTAAGCACAACCTCAAAAATAAAAACAATCCTTCCCCAATGGAATTCGCTTACTGATCCGGCAGCTGTATGCATGGATGTCCACACGTACAATACCACTGATGCCAACTCCATAATTAGATGGATTATTAATATGGAAATAGAGATTTGACTGTACTGCTGATCCATGACCTCTATAAGCTTCCGAAAGGAACGAATATTTTTAATATTCTCTGGCCGCAATGCCATCTGGGAGCGTGGATAAAACAT